AGAGAGAGAGAGAGAGAGAGAGAGAGAGAGAGAGAGAGAGAAGTGAGTAGACAGGATCATCAAGAATAGTCTAGGAATTGAAAAGTACTATGAAGCCAGGTATGTACCTGTAACCCTAGCTGCTTGGGAAGCTAAGGAAGAGGATCACAAATTGACCTTAATCTGGATAACAGCAAGGTCCCATCCCAAAAAGACAAAAGAAAGGAGCTATGAAAGAAGAAAGATTGAGGAGGCCCAATGAGTAGGATGAAATGATCATAAAGAAAAATAATAGAAAAAATGGAGAAGAGGGAAAAGAAATTTATCAGGTAGTAGAGAACTGAGGACAGCACAAATAACTTACTGGATCTCCTGGTAAGTGTCTGGTCCCTGGATCAAGCTTAAGAGTGAGGTCCTGGTGTGGATTCCAGTGTCAGGCATGATGCTGAGGACCTTATTTCTCACTCTTTCATCCTTATCCATTAACCCTTGGGCCAGAGGCAAGGCAAAGAGATGAGTGACCATGCCTAGACGCTTCAGCCCTTCCCAGGCTAGCTCTCGGATCAGTGGGTTGGAATTGGCTGTATCATCCAGCAGACGGTGGGCGGTCTCAGAGCGCAGGGATGGAGACACTTGGTAAGAGGCAAAGATCTGCCCTAGTGCACCAATACAGCACTGATACTTCAGTGGGGAAGCATGGAGCATAATATTGAGAATTGTCTCAATTAGGTTGCTGATAGCTATGTCACTCATTTTTCTGCCCAGCCAACTTCGCCTTGCTGAGTCCATAACGACACTGTAGGTTCCTTCCTTGGATTTTCTCATTGCTAGAAAGCCTTCATCCTCCTTCTCTTCATATTCTTGTATTTTACTCAAAGTTCTTACCCTGCTGTTCCATAAAAAGAAGGGTTCAGGCATTTCCCATTCCAGTTCCCGCTGGGGTGCGTGCAGGTTGCACTGTAGGTGGATTGGGCTGCCCTCTGGCCAGAGACGGGCACGAATCACTGAGTTGGGGATGTAGCAATCGGGGGCAAGGAACCATTCCCTCCCGGAACCAAAGTAGCATCTCAGTATGTGGTAAGGGTACAGGCCATCCCAGTAAGTCAGTTGCAACTGGGGAGGAACCACGTAATGGTGGTGAGGAGGCTTGCTCACCGGCACCTCCGCCACATGTTTGCCAGTACCCAGTAACATGGGACTGCCATCCTCATCTTCTATCACATGTGGCACAGAATGGTCGAAGGCAATGGCCCGCTTATTGATAAGGTTCTGCAGGCCCAATAGTTCCTGTTTCCCCTGACCAAGGTAGATATACTTGGGCACAAACATAATCTCAAAAGAGAGAAAGAAGCTTGGTATGAAAGGCTTAGGGGCTTCTAGCACTTCATCTGTTATACTCCTTAAGGAAAGGAGAGAAAGCAGGCTAGGGGGAAACAGTTTTAAACAGGATACCAGATAAAGACCCTGATTGAAAGTCACCAGCAGGTCACCCCGGTCATTGGCAAAGCAGACTGGGCCAAAGCGCAGTGATGAGTCCAGCATGGCTATGAGTCTACCATGGAAGTCCCAGATCCGGACAGAGCCATCACTGCCAGCGGTGACAAAAAGACTCAGAGACAAGCAGACATCAAAGGATGTGATGGTACATTGGTGCAGAGGCAAGGTCTCTATGAATTTCGAGCCTGATTGTGACTCATAGGACATAAAATCACGGAACTTCCAGAGACGCAGGCAGTTAGTGTCTGTGATGGCACCCACAGTGTGGGGCAAGAGTACCAGTTGTTTTAGGTGACAGCTGCTGAGAATGCTTGAGAGAGGCTGCAGTTGTAATTTTGTCCCCTCAAGCACAGCTTCTGATAAGTGTATATAATCATCCATCCCATAAGAACACAGCAAAGAGTTTTCTCGGCCACCCAGAAGCCTCGCAGACAGTGTAGAGAGTGCCAGTACAGCCCCATAGTGTATGAATTTCTCTATTCGGGCACAGCTGTGCTGGGAAAGCACTCTTACCATACCACTCTGGTGCCCAGAGAATATCAGTCCTTCTATCCCTCGCCCCAGGTGGAAATGCCCATAAGCCAGGCAGTGTACAAAGTCCTGAGAATTGGCTGAGCTGCATAAAATATACTTGGCTGGGGATGGGTTATGGGTTGTGTCAAAAACCAGCACCTCTGTGTTGCCTGTTGCCACAAAGAGCTCCTCTTTACGTGGGTCATAGGCCCAGTCCACAGCCTCGTCCAGGATGGAGAAGGGCCAGGTGAGAAGCAGAAGGTCCCCTGTTATTGGGGACACAAAGCGCAACAGGCCATCATCTGTAATGCACAGGATCTTGTACCAGTCATCACCACAGCAGACCCGATGCACCTGCTGGGGAGCAGAGCCACAGACATGAAAGAGGCTATAGAAGCAGGGCAGTCTGCACAAGAAAAATGTATGGGTAGTTTGGCAGAAGAAGGTAGTGTCATCAATAAACTGGAGGCGGTACAGCTCCTCGCCAAATTCTAGTCGCCGAAGCAGGTTCCCTGAAGTCAGGTTCCACTCCTTCATGAGGCCTTCCTGGCCAGCTGTTAGCAGGGTGTTGGCCTCTGATCGGCTGCGGATACAAACCACTAATGAGATGTGGGCCTTGAAACTGTAGAGGGCATGGCTGTGATTGACATTCCATACTTGGATTTCCCCTGCCTGGTTTCCAGCATAGAGAAAACCCTTGTCCAAAGCTGTGAAGCAGCAGGTGATAGAGGAGCCACTGCTGGTGGAGATGAACTTCTTCATCTCTGCCAGCGTGCCCTGGCCATGGCGCTCAAGGGCTCTCACCACAGTCTCACACAGGGCTAGGACAGAGCCATTGGGGCCATTCAGCACAATGTCCTGGACAAGCTCATTACCTGGCATGGAGATCATGTGAGCTATCTGGAGGCCCTTGCCACTTTGATCAATGACCCAGGTGACCACTGAACCCCGGATGCCAGACAGAAGCATCTTCATTTCTGGGTCATAGCAGAGACAGTTGATGTTGAAGCGGCAGGGCACTGTGGCGAGGGGTTTGAATGCCCGAAAGTGGTCCCCAAAGAGGCGCAGAATCAGGTCACCACAGTAGGCCACAAGAATATGATAGGAACCCGTGTGGACCATTGACTGGATGGGTGGCAGTCGCTCAGTCATGAAGAATGCTTTCTTCTCAACCATGTCCTCAGATTTGCTCTTCATCCACACTACAGCCTAGAAGAGAATAAGGTAAAGCTTGCCTAGAAAAGATAGCAAAGGGGCTGGGGGGAATGTCTCAGTAGAATAAGCACTTGCCTGGCAAGAGCAAGGGTCTGAGTTCAATCCTCAGTTCCACAAAACAAAACAAAAAAAGATGGCAAAGGAGAGGGGCCAAATGCTCAGCTACTTTCCCCTGTTCTTTTATTAAGGAGGAGCTGGAAGATTCTAGAGTGATTTTGTACTCTAGTGATGGGATTGGAACTGGGATAGAGGTGGAAAGTGTAGGACCCTTTTTAAACCTCAGTCTACTGTAGAGGTACTCAAGTATAACAATTTGGAGCCAGTATTTGGGGAAAGTAGGTGGGAGGGCATCAGGATCCAGGTTACATTTATTTATTTGCCAGTTTGGTGTGAGAGCTGAATGGGTTTGGTCCATGGAAAGTAGGCTAAGAAGGGAAAAAGAGAAACGGAGGGAGAAGGAAGGAAGGAAAGAAGAAAGGAAGGAAGGGAGGGAAGGAATGGGGGAGGGAGCGAAGGAGGGAAAGGGAAAGAAGAAAGGAAGGAAGGAAGGAAGGAAGGAAGGAAGGAAGGAAGGAAGGAAGGAAGGAAGGAAGAGAAAAAAGAGAGTTTACCTGCATTTCTTTTGTGTGGGGTGTCACCCAGGAGAGAGAAGCAAAGAAGTAGGCATCACAGAAGTAGTGGCATACAAGTGGCATATTTAGAGGAAAGCGAGATTCTTTGAACAGTGTCTGGGACCGGTCACTCAGAACAACTGTATCACTCTTTGAGTCATCTGAAGATTGCTGGATAGAGGCATAGCACAAAGTAAGAGGCCAGGGCCCACATGGCCTAAATAGTCTCACAAGATTCAGGATTGAAAAAGTTCCCCAAATCATTCCTCCCACCCCTCCTAACTCCTGTTACACCCACACATGCACAGCTTACCACCAATGGGATCTCTCCACTTGTGACAAATCTCTCAACACACGCAGGAGCCAGAACCCTGAGGCCATGTATGGACAGTTTTATAGTGGGGGTAAAGGGAAAATGATGTTCTTCCCAAAGTGGCATTTGGCACATCTGTCTTCTAACATAAAAAGGCACTAAGTATACCATCTTAACAGGATCTCCCAAAAGTCAATGCAGCCCTAAGTTATCAAACTTAAAACTGTAGAAGTAAGATGCTAGAACACCCTGTCTGGCCATTAAGTTTGACAGCACGTACACAGTATGTATTATCCATAGTACTAGAACATGTGCTTTTAAACATTTACCCAAGATCCATTTGCACAGAGCTATCCATAGCAAAACTGAGGTTGGCAAATGCTCTCTCTGCTGCCCTCTCCCTTCTGTTAGGACATTTTCTAGAGCACCAGTTGCTCTGACAATGCTTCAAAATGTTTGTCTACTATAAAGTACCTTCATAAGAGGCCTATAGTCTTAGTTGGAAATGGGTGGTCCACTTTTTGCTAAAGTGACAACTGTCTTGATAGTTTGTTGTACTTGTTTCTTGGATTTTTTTTTTTTATGTATTTGGTTGTTGCAGGGTCTCACTAGGCAGCTCAGACTCATAGTGATCCTCCTGTTTTTCAGCCACCCCAGTGCCAGGATAACAGGTATACGCCACTGCACTCAGACTCTGTGGCTGGCTCAGCCTGCCCTAGGGGGTGGGGCTGGCATGGCATGTGGTGCCAGGGATTGAACCATGGTTCTGAGCTTGCCTAAGAGGACACTTTAGTCCACTGAGCTATCTCACTGGCCCCCATTTCTTGAATTTATAGACAATCTATGACCTTTTCAAAACGCACATTATTGTAATATAGAGGCTAATATTGTTTATCCTGTTTGTTCTTGGATTTATAGACAATCTATGGCTTTTTCAAAATGCTCATTATTGTAAGATATAAGCCAACCCATGGCATATTTGTACATTACCTTGTCTTTATGTATGATATCATTTATAAGACACTTAAACTCTCTCCAGGTGGGGATGAGTCTGGGGGAAGGCATCATCTTGATTCTCCTTGAGTCCTCAGGACCGTTGCTTAAATACCTGTGGGAATCCAATAGAAGGCTGCTTAACTACTGCTGCTTTTTAGAAGCCTGGAGTCAGAGGGTAAGAATCATGAACTCACATTTACTGAAGACTTTGTCAGAACAAGACAGACCTTCTCATTTAATCCTCACTATGGCCCTGTGATGTAGGGATTACCCTGCTTTACAGATGAGAAAGCTGAAACTTGGAGAGGATAAATGAAGGATTGGGGAGCGAAACAGAAACTTAGAAAGACTAGGGGGGGAAAAAAACCTGACAGCCAAGCAATAATACTTTGCTGGTTGTAGTACATCAGGAGAATATTTTATTTATTTATTTATTCATTCATTCATTCATTTATTTGTGTTTCAAGACAGGGTCTCCTTGTGTGGGTTTGTTTTTTGTTTGTATTTAATAAGGGGATACAGGATTTACAGAGTCTTACTATGCAGATTGGACTTGTAGTGATCCTCCTGTTTTCAGCCTCCCAAGCACTGGGATTATAGGTGTGAGCTGCCACACCCAGTCTCAATCGCTGTCTCAGCATGCCCTGGGGGTGGAGCCAGCAGCTGAGCTCTGCCTAAGCAGGTGCTTTGGTAAGCAGGAGCTTTAGTAGCTATCCCTCGCTGTGCAGCTTGAACTAAACATCTGCTCACTTTTGTAGTGCCCAGGCTGGTCTCCAACTCACAACAATCCTCTTGTCTCAAACTCCCAAGTTCTAGGATTACAGGCATGTGCCACCAGGCCCAGTTTCAGGAGAATATTTTGAGGACTAGCAGGATTTCAGAGTGTGGTCCCCAGACCTCCTACACCAAAATTATTTGGGGAAAAGGTACACCTTCAAATGCCAAGTCCCGAGTTCTGTTCTAGATCTATATGGAAGCTGTAACTTGTAACAAACTTCCTTAGGTCCCAGAAGATTCTGTTGCTATCCAAGTCTGGTTACTGAAGTAGGAAGTAGATAGAGAAAAAGGATACCTGGGACTACCGGCCTCACCTGGCACAACTGGAGAAAGGATTCCAGCCTTTTTGTTTGGGTGGTTTTGTTTGTTTGGGTTTTTTGTTTGTTTGTTTGTTTGTTTTCATTTTTGTTACCAGGAATCAAACTTAGAACGTTGTACTTGCCAGTCAGGCCCTTATACCACAGAGCTATATTGTTTATTTGTTTTTCTTTGTTTGTTTTTTGAGACAGTGTCTAGCTATGAATGTAGTCCATCTATGTATGTAGTCCATCTATGTATGAGTCATCTAAAGATTCCTAGAGAGAGGCATAGCATAAAGTAAGAGGCCAGGGCCCGCATGCCCTAAATAGTCTCACAAGATTCAGGATTGAAGCTGGCCTTGAACTCACTATGTAGCCCAGGCTGACCTTGAGCTCAAAGTGATCCTCCTGCTTCAGCCTCCCAATTGCTGGAATTACAGGCATACACCACCACATGCAGCCCAGCTTGTGGGCTTACAAGTTTCCCCATGGATGGGTGCTCAGACAATCTGCCATTCATTGGCTACTTTATCATTCCATTCTTTTGGTCATTGTGGGGACAAACATCTTTTCCTAGTTGGATTTTAAATAAATCTTATAACAATCCTGTACTATGTAGTATCTGGCCTTAGTAGTGCCATAATGGACTTGTTTTTTCTGATTTGTAAAATGAAAATGTCAATAGAGGGCAACAGAAGCCAACCATGCCTGTCAGATGTTCCCAGTGTGTTGGTTCTGTGGTTGGCAGCATCAGCTTCACCTGAGAACTTGTTCGAAATGCAATTTATTGTCCTAACCCTACAGCTTTTGAATTGGAAACTGAGGACAGGACCCAAGAATCTTTTTTCCCCCATTACTGGGCACTGAATGCCAAGCCCTTTGCATTGAGCTACACCCCCAGCAACCCCCCACACACACACACACTTTTGAGACTAGGTGTCATTAAGTTGCCAAAGTTGCCCAGGCTGTTCCTCAACTTGGGATCCTTCTGTTGAGATTTCAGGTGCATACCTCCACACCCAGTTAAATAGTCTGAGTTTCATCAAGCTCTTCAGCTGATTTTTTAAAAATCATTTATTTATTTGGTACAGGGTTTCACTACATAGCTCAGGTTCATAGCCTTCCCAGCAAAGGGACTACAGGCATGTGCCACCATGCCCAGTTTTGGTGGCTGGCACAGCACTGGGGTTCTGGAGTCTGCATGGCCTGTGGTGCTGGAGATCATACCCAAGTCCTTGTACTGGCCAGGCAGGTGTTTAGACCACCGAGCTATCTCCACAGCCCCTCTTCAGTTGATCTTATATGAGCACTACAGTGTAAGGCTGCAGATTTAGAGAGATACTGTAGTCCCCAGGCAGTGCAGCCTTAGTCTCCTCAAGCAAGGTCAGCAGAACCCTGAGCCTATGCTCTATGTTGTCACAGAGATTTGATGGCCAGATTTTGGGGGAGCAACAGGAAAAACTTCTCTGGCATGCTTAGAGTGGGTCAGAGTCCACAGAAGAGCTTCCACATCAATCACTTCATTAGTTCTTAAAAGAACCCTAAGAGGCAGATGTTGTCTTCCTTCTGTAAGCAACATGAAGCCTGAGAAGATAAGGGATGTTTTGGAAGCTATAGGTGCAGATTCAAGATGAACAGCCAATCCACAGTTCTTGGATGCTATATCAGAGGAAGAAGAGGTTCTGCTAGTACTAGCTAAGGAAGCACTCAGATCCCCAAATCTACCAGCAGCGCGAACTGGAGACTGGTGTCTGACATCAGCATCCTGTCTCCTTCCATACCCAGGCTGCACACTGTCCTGCATTATTTTTCATTTTGTTGCTGTTTGGTCCTGCTCTTGTTGTGCATTTGGACCACCTTTCAGGAGCTGGTGGGATCTGCATCAGATCACGCACATCAGTGGGTGACCATTCAGGTGGGCCCCACAGCTCAGGTTCACTCCACTGGCTCCTTAGGCTCCAGAGCTGCTGAGAGTCATCATCATTTGTCACAAATTTATAGTCACTGCCAACACCATTGTTCTCTGTATCTCCATTGGGTTCTACTTCTCTTAAGCAGAGTACAGAAACAAAAAACAAGTGGTTGGGAGCCTTTGGGGGAACATTTTAAGGGATGAATGAAAAAGGCCTTCACACCCCATCTGTTGTTTATTTTGCTTCTCTCTCCCCTACCTTGCATACAAGTTTCCTCAGCAGAAGCCTCTCCTTCAACGTCCCCACATTCCACTACCTAAGCCACTAACTGTCCTTAAAAACAAATTTGGAATGAATTCCAGATGACTTAATTCCAGTGGTTTTGTTTAATGTGTCCATAATCCAAAAATTATCTACTGGGAGAATTCAAGTGGTCAATTTAGGGAAAGGTACAGTGTGAAGGAAAGCAGATGTCCCACTCCACCTTGAAACAGAGTTGGCTTTAGGGGGCGCTGCACTCCACTACTCTTGAGTCCCCGGCTCCCCTGTGGGTCCCTCACTGTTCTGGTGCTGGAGGCAGTGAGAGAAGGCAGACAGGGCTCTTGCTTTGTGTCAGGGAAAGCAGACACCAGAGTAGTCCTAAAATTGACAGCCATGGAAAATTCTCAGTGACAGATTATTAGTTACTGAACTTTACTGCAACTTTTTCTTAAACCAAAGTACCCCAGCGATTCAGGGTGTGTGTGTGTGTGTGTGTGTGTGTGTGTGTGTGTGTGTGTTTCTTGTGTTAGGGAATGAGTCCAGAGCCTTCACACTGAGCTACATCCCCAACCTTTTATTTTATGAGACAGGGTCTTCTTCAGTTGACCAGGCTGGCCTTGATCTTGGACTCCTTCTGCCTCAGCCTCCCAGAGTGCTGGAATTACAGATGTGCGCTACTATGCGAGGCTTTTAATTTTTTTTTAAATTTTAATATTTTTGAAATGATGTTTCACTGAGTTGCCAGGGCTTATTTGAAACTTGTGAGGTCAGGAGATCTTTGTGCTTTAACCTCCACACCTAGCTGGCAGTATAGGTGTGCACCACCATGTCCAACTTTGGAGATTAATTGGTAAGGGAAAGTAGAAAGTACTATGAGTACATATAATGAATACACCAAAGGTGATATGTCCTCTATACTTTGAGAAAGGGTTCTGCATGTATTATACAGGATTACAGGTAGGCTTCAGATTTGTGGATGAGGTACAGAAAGACCAGCTGTTATCAGAAGGATCTAATTATTTGTTAAGCCAGGGGCATCACATGTGATGGTGCACAGCTGGGAAATTTAGTGACTTAGGAAGACCTTATTTCAAAATAAAAAGTGGGCTGGCTTCAATCACCAATATCATGCAAAAGAAGAAGGAGGAGGAGGAGGAGAAAGAGAGAGGAGAGGGGGAGGGGGAGGGGAAGAAAAGAAAAGAAAAAAGAGAGGCAACCTTGGCTTATTTGGTTTCTTTGACATAACTGATTAGGGGCCCAAGTTTGTCTCTGGGGCCTAAGAGTAGCTTCACATTTAGGACTAGGGCTGGAATGTGCTTACTTCTTCTTCTTCTTCTTCTTCTTCTTCTTCTTCTTCTTCTTCTT